GGGGGGGGAATCACACACAAATAACTTTCATTATCAGTAAAGCACACACAAATACACAAATAATCTTCTTTCCAGTAAAACACATACATATCTCCGTGGGATCTTTGTCATGTCCGGACCATTCTCATTTCCTTACACACACTATTTCTTACTCTCCTTTCAATCTGGGATGGGGGTCAACACACAAACATTTATACCAACTTTTTTACCATCAACATACTCACACATTTACACTGTAATCATACTGCTTGCATACTTAGAAATTATTTTCTGGGAGCCAATAAGCTCCATTGTAGAGGATCTCATCCTCCAGGGCTGGAAATGATTACATAGAGACACATTCTCACACACAACATTTCCAGACCTGGGGAGGTTTTGTCCCTTTAAATCTCCACATTTTATTTTTTTCTTATTTGAAAAACCTGTAGTTTGTTTTCAGAGCATTGGGATAACTCAAGGAGTGGTTCCAATCACAAAGGCGATTGTGGGCCCGAACCACTGCCTATCTGCTTCCCACAACTCTAAGCCCAATCCAAAAAGCCAATTTAATTCTCTGGGTGCCAAACATGTTACAATTAATTTATTTTGAGCTGCAGCTGTTCCAATTAGGGCTATACACAGGTAAAGGAATTAGGGCTATACACAGGTAAAGAAAATTTTTCTTCAATTCAATCCTATTCAATTCTGCATACACTTATTTTACATTATACATACACAACTAAGTTCTATTCTGCATGCAATTATTATACATTATTATACATACACATCTAAGAAGTTTGAATGAAAATCACATCATGAAAAGAATAGTAAACATTTTCTTCTTCTCTTAGTTCTTTCTAACACACATATAACAGCAAAAATTAACCATCTCTTCTTTGATCAACCCCAATGTACTTTATGGAGGGGCTCTATTTTAAACATGGATCTGTGTCTCATTCCATGCTTCTGAACAGCAGAGCTAACTGTAGACCTGAAAGTCCAATTGAAGAAGATTTTGGAGTGACAATTTTTACCTGATCATAATCAGGAGGGGGGGCTTATAGTCAATTATTATTTTGCTGAGACATCAGAGCCAGATGTTTCCACTGCATGGCAGCATTGATACCATCGATGTAATATTTGAACTGGAGCCTTGGGTTCAATATGTAAAGTATGCCCTATCTTTATCCAATCCTGTAACCGGAGCATCTTGCACTCAGGGTCCCAGGGACAAAGCTTTCCTATCTCCTTAATCAGCTTCTTTATATCAGCCTCAGTGTAGTTTTGCACCTGATTCATGTAGCAGGAATCTAAGTTCCTGAACATGTTCCTGCTGATGCTGAGATAGATTGCAGCCCATACTTACCCCTGATCGGTCCTGTAGGACGTGGTGTGCACCTTTGGGGTCTGTTCCAGATGAAGGCAAGTATGTTGGGAGCTGCGTCCCCATAGGGTAAATGTCCCTGTTCAGGTGCCATATGTGGTGATCAAAGATCAGTCATTGTGCAGGGTGCCAAGATGTCTGACTGCCTGGGCAGCATTTATTACATTTATAGAGTTTTTACAAGAAGACAAAGGCAACATAGATACAGCATCTGGATTGGAGAATAGATACCACATGGGTGAAAGCTCCCATCCACATTGGTACAACCTCCCAACCAATCCTTAAGATTAGTGGTGATGTTAGTAAATGAGATCACCTATATGTCTGGAAAGTTAGGGACTTTCCACCTTTACCAAAATATAGGAAATGAGATCATGCCAATAGCCAAGAGGTCCACATAGGGTTTCTAGATGGCAGTTTGCTGCTTAGCATCTAGCACCATCTGTAAGATCTCAGTAGATACCACAGGCATCCTTGTCTTGTACCCTTTTGAATTTCACATGAGTTAGTTAAGTTGCCATTAACAACAATTTTGATTGATGTGACGTGTAAATCGCTTTAACTCCTTGAATAAAGTTTTTTTCCAAAGTCAATTTCTTCCACCATTTTAAACATAAAAGCCCAATTTAGACTGTCAAAGGTGATTATAGCAGTTTTTAAAAATGTATTAAATTATAATACTATCAATCTTACAGGATTGATCTCTGCTGAAATTCACAAGAGTGTAGCTAGCCAAAACAGCAATTATTCAAACAAGCTTAATCAGTTTGCTTTCTTCTATGTGCTTAGCCCTCATAACATCATCAGTTCCCAGGTTATCTTTGGGGGAACAGGCAAGTTAACATAATTCCAGACAAAGCATGAGGCGCTAAGGACATAGAATCCACTAAAATAATTTCATGGACATTTTTCAAGATAGCACTTTATTTTAAGAATGACATTCTTTAAATTTTACTTAGAATAATTTTAAAATGAATAATGATGGGATTTTGCAGGCACCAAAGATGGCATCCATAAGCAGATTGATGCCCATGAATGCTGGGGTTTTTTTTTTTGGGGGGGGGGGGGGGAATTCTTCAGATAAACCTTGAATTTCAAACCAGAGAAGTTGTGCAGTATTGCAGTACTTAAATTCAATCAATAATCGAATTTAATAATTCTTTGGGATTTTTTTCAGATTTGTGTGAGCAAGTGTCCAGATAGGTATATCACTTTTCTACAGGCCTCCAGTATCGACCACACAGTAACCCAGGAACTAAAATATTATCAACAGTTTTGTGTCCCAGAGTTTACTGATCTGAAGAAGGTAAGTGAGCTGAATTGTTGGATTGTTGCTGTGTTCTTTCTTAAAACTCAGGTAGAGAATATCCTTTTTTGGACAGAAATTAATCATTGATGCACCCTGTCTCTTTCAATCTCTGTTCCAGAGTGCACCTGAAGTGTTGAAAGACGGTGAATGTCCAGCCATGCTTACACCAAGCAAGCCCTGTAAGTCCTTCTGTAAAACAAGGCTGGTAGAAGAAACTCTAGGGATTTAATTCTAGTTTCAAGAGCAGCTGAACCACCTTAACAAAACCAATCAAGGGCTGTGACTGCCAGCTTCCATAGTCATTCCATATACAAACTTTAGATTGGATACTGATTTTGCTTGTTACTCACAGGATACATCTCCTTAAATTACTTAGCCTAGTTTTTCCTTACTCTAAGGTTTAAAAACATCCAAATAATTAATTACATAAACTTTGTAGCTGCTTGGACTTGGTGGCTAATTATTATTCACTTAAATTTTATGAAGCTATTACTATGTAGCTTCAGTGATTCAAGTTGGGAACAGAAGGTAAAACCTGTGATGGTTTCCAGATTCTTAAGATTTTTTTTTTTATTTTCAAAACTCAGCAACATGGTTGTGCAGAGCAGAGCTTGATCTCTACTTATTGTTTTAAAGACCAATATATTAGATAGAAAGATCAAGGGTGTTGCTTTTAGCTATTCCCACAACTTATATTGAATAGATGAGTATGATTTTTGTAACTTGAAATGTGTATTTTTCTGTGTGCCAAGGGGTCCCTCTTTTCTGTTTTTTTGTTTTTGAGCCAGTTTGTTTTTGAACATTCAGTAGTGGATGAACTTCTTTCAGCCAGATGTTTGTAATACATGTAATTCTAATAAATTCACCATTGAAGTTAGATTATGATTTAATACAGCCTCTATTAGTAGTCACAATTGGGAGTTTCAGATAAATCAGAATGATCAGCCTACTTTAGTAGTAATAGAAGTAATAGTAGTTGGCATTTCCAAGATAGAAAACAAGTGGTAACAATAGAGTAATTATAAAAATGTTATCAATAAAAACAGTGTATTACTAAATACAGATACTAATTAAATAAATTCTTAAGCTAATATGAACCAAACCTTGCAATCATTTGTATTAATAATTGTGTTATACTAAACATTTGATTGACAATACAACCAACTGGAAATACATCTGAAAAAAACAGAAACTAACATGGAAATGTCCATTTTAATAAGAGCAGGATGGGAAAAACAAACCTTTTCCCTTATATACCAGTTAAATAAAAGTAATTTTAAATACCTCTTTTAAGACTTTAAGGCTCTTCCCAAAGGGTAAAGGGGAAGCTAATTCTAGAATTCTTGAAAGCTTAGAACCTAGAGATTACAATTCTGGATAGGGAACAGAAAGGAAACCTTTCCCAGAGAATATAAAATATCAACAAGTTTCTCAGAGGACATATAGTTATATACTGGGAGGGGTGGGAGATGAGGTACTGGGAGGCTCCTGGGAAGAACCAGTAGTTTAAAGTGAGTTGGCTTAAATAGGGAACTTGTGAAGGTCCTGCAGTATTTGTGAAACATGAGAATAATATGTTGCTCTAACGAGGCAGAGGAAATCACTTAAAGTGTTTAAATCTCTTTGATGCTTAAACAGTGGCTCGTAGATGTTTACCTGCAATCAATAGTAAGAAAGGTGTTATCATGGTTGGAAACGCAACAACTTTTGATGATGGAAGTGGAAGTGGGAAGAAAAGGAATGTGACAGAACTTCTGGAAGGGGCCAAGTGAGTTTTATTTGCCTGTTGTGATTTATTTATTTGGTTTACATGGACAATAAGAAAAAGGTGACTCTGGGTAGGAAAATAAAAACCAAGCGTTAAAAAATCAAACACAATAATCTGGAATTGAAAAGAGAATTAAATAATAAAAATAACAAAATTAACCAAATTAACCAAGGCCAAATAACACTTATCATGTTTAAGATCTTTCATTCTGGCCTAATACTTGAGGAGAAAAATCAGATTTTTATGGACATACAGAGGGACAGACAGATGAGAAACATCCAAACTTTGTGGGTTATGTTATTTCACAGGGCAGGCACTGTTAACATCTAAATGTTACAGGCATCTAGATCCTACTCTTTCATGGAAGGGACTTGAAGCATGCCCACTCTGCTGGATTTCATGGGCCTGGCAGAGATAATTGGAGACAAAATCTCTCCAAATAGCCTGATCCATGTCACAAAGGATTTTATAGATCTATAAGCATGGGAATTGCATCTGAAAGATTATCGGGAACCAGTGCATGGGGCCAAGTAATGGTGTTAAATGGGCATACCAAGTTACTTTTATAACTACTTGCACCCCTGAATTCAGGATCAGTTACAGTTTCTGGGTGTTTTTTTTTTTAAATAGCCCCCCTGCATAATGTGTGGCAATAATACGAACAGAAAATGACCAAGGCATCAGAGACTGGAGTAGGACTTCTCAGTCCTGGAACTGGCACAGTTGTTGATCAGGGTGGAGTTGTCCAAAGCATTGTCCTCCTTGACCACAGCTGCCACTTGTTCTTCCAGCAGGAACTGAGTCCAAGAATAGCCTCAAATCTCACACAAGTTTTGCCTGGGTGAAAATATCTTCATTCAGAACCAAAACTAAAGAATCCTCAGAGCCATGGAATCCAAAAGCCCAAAGATACCATGCTTGCTCTGTTTAAGCTGAATGCTATTTTTTCCTGTCCAAACTTCCACAACAAAATAGGACTTTGATGGCAACAAATGATCAGTCTAGGTGGAGAATGTATAACTAGGTATATATGACTTCTTGAAGATACTTGACTGTACCAACAGATGTTTCACCCATTGATTTCATGTAGATATTAAATAAGAGCCCTGAGGATCCTGCAAAACAGGAGCCTTGAGCTAGATTCCACCATGAAATACCAACTGGGAATGGTCCTAGTAGAAGGACAACTAGTGCAGCTCCATACTTATATCTCCTAAACCTTGAAACCAGTCCAGTTATACCAGGGGTGGGCAAACATTTTGGCTCGGGGGCCGCATTGACTTTTAAAATTTGACAGACGGGCCGGGTCAGCACAAGATTTTTTGGGAATCGCCCCCCCACCCTTCCCCCCCTTTTCCTCCTTCCCCTCCCCTCGGAGGCCCCGAGTCAGGAGTTGCTACCGCTGGCGCGGCTCCGCGCGGCTCCAGTCCCGCGTTGCCTCGGGAAGGGAAAGGCAAAAAGGAAGAGCCGCGGCGGTGCTTTGCAACGGCAGCAGCGGCTCCTGGTTTTGTCTTTTCCTTCCCGAGGCAACGCAGGACTGGAGCCGCGTGGAGCTGCGCCGGCGGTAGCAACTCCTGACAGCCCCAGCCGGATACCTGAGCGAAGCCCGGGCGGTGCGAGCGGAGGCCGCTGAGCGGCAGGAAAAGGGAGCTGGGCCAGCCACAGACCAGCCTCCGTGCAACATGCCGCTGCCCGGCCCCGGCGAGGGAAAGCAGCGGGCATTCCCCAGGCGCGCAGCGGGGGGTCTCTTTTGGCCGGCCCCGATTTTTTTTTCAGAGCGGAATATCATGCCTGGCGCCCGCGAGTTAAAACGAAGCCGAAAGTTGCTGGGAAGTTGCTCGGGTGCTGGGAGCAGGCTTTTAAAGTGCCGCCCGAGCAGGACCGCCGAGCCGGAAAACGGGGCACCAAGGCAGGGCAAGGCTCCACCAGCAGCGGCCTAGCTTTAGGTGGCTCCAAGCAGCCCACCCCGCCCGCTGGGTGGAACCTTTCCCGCTCCTCGGCGGGAAGACGCTCCAGCCTGCAAGCTTTGCCTTTGCAAAGTTTAAGCCTGGAAGCCCCGGAAAAAAAAGGGGGATCGGCGGGGACTCACCTTCGGAGTAGTCGCACTCGAAGGTGATTTCGAACTCCCAGCCGAGGCCTTTGCAAATTTCTTTTCTTTCCTACCCCTAGATTGCTCCGCACTGTTTTGCAGCTTTGGGGGCCACGCGGCACAGGGCAATACGCCACACCCAGCGATTTTTTTTCAGGGGCGGGCCGGATTGGACAGACCAATGGCAGTGATTTTTTTTCAGGGGCGGGCCGGATTGGACAGACCAATGGCAGTGATTTTTTTTCAGGGGCGGGCCGCATTGGACAGACCAACGGGCCGGATGTGGCCCCCGGGCCGTAGTTTGCCCACCCCTGAGTTATACATTTGCCACCTAAACTGACCAAATGTTGCTATCAATAGTGATTAATAGTACCAAAAGCTGCTGGGTAACCAAAAAGATGGATATACTATCTCTATCACAGTTCCTTCACAGATCATCTATAAGAGCAATCAGTGCTGTCTAAGTATTATATCCTGGTCTGAGAACCAAATGAAAGAGGTCCAGATAATTAATTTCATCTGTAACTATAAGCATCTCAACAGACTTCTCTCAAAATTGTTAGATCCCATAAACATTCTTGAGCAGGGAACAGGCCACAGCCTCTTTAAGACCACTTTGATTCAATTACATGTCATAGCTTGAGAGGCCAGGAGGGACATCGATTTATTACCATTCTGTGGTTTACAGGATTGAGAATCCCACTTTTTCACGATCAACATGTTTAAACTCTTCCCATATTACCATGCTATAGAGTGTGCCCTAGTTATCTCAAAAGAACTGCAAAACCAGAATTTAACTCTGTGCATTTGAGGAATTGTATCTAATAATGCTTATATGTGTCTAATATGTGATCACTGCACTATTTTGATGCTATTGAAACTCTAGCATCATTGGCATGGTGACCTAAAACTCCTGGTTTGCTCCAAACCCTTTCCCTGCAAGCGCAGATTAATGTTCCCCAGCACTATACTATGCCAACAGTTTCTAATAATTTGGGCAGGGAAGCTAGTATCATAGCAGTAATCCCATCTGATGTCTAGAGCCCAGTCCAGGGCTCTGCAACCTGTGGCTCTGGAGCCACATGCGACTCTTTCAGCCCTCTGCTGTGGCTCCCTATCGGCTGACCCCACCACGGGCTGGCCCCTCCCCATCACTCCTCGCCTGGCCTAAGAAGGTAAGGATGGTAGCGGTGGATGGAGACTTTCAGAGCAGGTGGTGACGGTGGGAGTGAGTGACGTCAAGTTGGCCACGCCCACCCAGTCACACCGGTTGTTAAATTATTGGCTCCTGGTGTTTTCTGTGGGAAATGGGTCCAAATGGCTCTTTGAGTGTTTAAGGTTGCAGACCCCTGGCCTAGTCTCATCACAACTACACTCTGCAGAGATGTGTGTCTGAAACCACCAGGTCCCCCAAATAATGTCCAAAATAACCAGTGGTACCAGTCTCTGCTCATTTTCCAACTTTTGCATTGAAGTCTCCAAGAATGTAAACAATGTCTTTTTGAGCACTTGTTTCAGAGTTTCTTGAGCATGCCATAAAATCCTTCTTTTCAAGCTCTGTTGCTGCAGTTGTTGGGACATAGACTTGAATACTTGTGATGTTCGGGGGCTTGGTAAGAATTCTGATGGTTATAATTTGATCACTTACAGTTGAGAAACTTTCCACTCCTCTAGCAAGTTTCTAGCTTACAATAAACACTCCATTTGTTTTCCTGATATTTTGTCCTGAATAATAAACAGTGAAGCCCTCAAGCTTGAAAAGCCATTGTTTGACCAACGTAGCTCACTGACATCAAGAGATCATTTTCCAGCTTGATCATCATTTGACAAGAAAATAGCACTCACAACTCACAATAAAATAGCACTGTTCCAATATTTGAGGGGCTCCTACAAAAATGAGGGAGTCTGTCTGTTTTCCAAAGCACCAAAAGGCACAACAAGAAACAATGGATGGAAACTAACCAAAGAGAAAAGCAACCTAGGATTAAGGAGAAATTTCCTAAGGGTGAGACCAATCAACCAATGGAACATCTTGCCTTCAGAAGTTGTTGGTGCTCCATCTGTCAAGCATCCAAGTAACGTGTCTCAAAAAATAAAGTCCAAGGTATCTATCTTCCTTTTCAAATCCATTTATTAGGAACACATTAAATTGACAAGGAGTTAGTGTAATTCTGACTCTGAACCTGATCCAGAATTACACCCAATAAAAGCAAAAATGTGAAACTCCCCCCCCCAAGTCATAATCTCCAATCAATTCTCAGTCCAACAGTCCAGTGACTCCAAACTCCATCTTCAGCCAGCTGCAGGCATCTGATCTATTCCCATGGGAAAGGAATGCCACCTAGACATAACATTCCCCCCTTATCTTTACAACCCCCCTTTCAACAGTTAGAAAATGATGAACCTGAAGTACCGTGTTTCTCATATAATAAGGCCGAGTCTTTTTTTTTTTTTTTTTTTTTGCCCCCAAAAAACGGCGGGGCCGCCTTTTTTGGGGGGGCATTTTTCCCCCCCCCCCCCCCGCATCTTAGGGCGGGCGGTGACGGCTTGGATGTTGACCTTGGCATTGGTGGAGCACTTTGTATCAGGGTCAACGCAGGCAGCACCATATCCGGGTGTGCAACAAAAGTACTTCCTAACAGCAAGCCCCCCTGCCATTTCCCCCCCATTTCGCATGTTTTAATATAGGCCTTAATTTGGGGGGAGGGGCTTAATTTCATTTCATGCCTATAAAACATGCTGGGACTTCCTATTGGGGGAGGCCGTATTGTTGGAGAAACGGAATTATTAATTCCAGTTACTACAAACCTAAAACTTAATAGAAAAGAAAAGAAAACAAAGGCTAATATAAAATATGTCATCTTCAGGGTCGACAGGCTGCCCCCCCTTCAAGTGAAAAGAACTTCCTACA